AAACCAGGAGGTCACTGTTCAATTCCCAGTCAGGGCACATGCCCGGGTTGCGGGCTCAATCCCCAGTGTGGGGTATGTAGGAGCAGTGGATCAGTGATTTTTCCTCTCATCATTGATGTTTCTATCTCTCTTTCCCTCTCTCCCTCCCTCTCTGAAATCAATAAAAATTTATTTTAAAAAAATCCTGGGGTACACCTTGGACAGCTAGATCTCTTGGAACTACGTCAGTGCCATGTGCAGCCTCACTTCTAGCTCTCCCTGACTCAGGGTCTCCCGGATATTCTGCTTTCCTGTGAGGGGTGCTAAATTCAGGCTATCGAACAAACTGACTTAATTCTTCAGCTGATCTCGAAACTGAAATCAGTCCAGGTATTTCATAGAATTTCCACCTTAAGAAAGCACTGTGGAATGGGTTTGGAGCGGAGGGTGTGAAGCTTGAGAAGCGCTGGTGAGCTGCTTGAGAAAGACACCCCCCGCCCCTCATCTTAGCCTGTGTGTGAGGAGCATGCATACTGAATCGGTGAACTTGGGTCAGCTCTGTCTCTTATCTGCACCAGAGGAATTTAAATGTCCATCTCTATTTTGGTGCATCTTTGTATAGAAGCCAGAGAAAACAGAGAGGCAATGCCCTGTGGCCCCAACTAATCAGAGCCCAGCTAGTTGATAACCCATCGTGCAGGCTGGGCACAGGCGACATGAAGAGGAATTTGTGCATTCTCCCTTGGTGCAGCTGCCTACCCAGGGACACATGGAGCCCCTATTTGGGCGTTTTGTCCCATCCACGGGGCGTGAAGAAAGCAGCTAGGCAAGGCGCCCTATGCAGCGTTTGAGAACTGTTAGCTTTACATGACCTAGAGTTACCCCCAGAAAAACAATTCTACTTCTGTTCTGCTTCTCTCCCATTAAAACAAGTTTATTCATTTTATTCCGGGAGCTATTTGCCATTGTTTTTGTGTATTCATCAGTTGTTTGTGTGCTGCTGAATTTGCAATTGTTCGTGATGTCATTCATGGATATAATTTTGAATGAAGAAAAAGCTGTGATGGCCAATGTACTCAGATACCACGGCTGTGGCTCCACAACTTAGCCCAAAGAGCAGGGTGGGAGGAGCAGGCTTTCCTTGGCAGCAAAGGGCTGCCCGGGCTTAAGAAGTCTTTGTAGTTCAAAACAAAACATGTGGTTACATGTGTACATCTTTTAAAGGTGCATGAAGCAAAAGGATCAACCACAAGATGCAAGTCATGCCAATAGCATGTGCTTTGCTGCATATGAAAAAAAAATATATATATATGTATTTGTGTTATTTATAAATTGTATACGTAGAATTTCATTTGGTAGTTTCACAATGACCCAGTGAAAAATTCAGGGCAGGAGGATAATGTCCCTATTAACAGGCTGGTGTGGTGGGTCCTGGGCCCCAGGACCCTAAGTCTGGTGGGGCCAGTGGCTTTCCACACCCACGTCTGCTTGAGCCATGGGACTGGCATGTGGTTTTAAGGTGTGGGAACAGCTTGCCCTGAGTCATTCCTAAGTTCCCAGGAATGCTTTTGTGGTGACTGATGATGGAATGAGTACTCTGACCTGTGCCGGGTAAAGAGACTATGCACTTCAATTCCTGAGTACGGTTTGACCTTCAGCCTTGACCTTACTGGTCGATCTGAAAGAGTGCCCATTTTCACAAGGGCTGTTACATTAGATACAGTTTTCCTCCCAAGAGGCAAAGCTGACGTCCTGTGTTATGCAGATGTTACACACCATAGTCTGGGAGGAATTTACCTACAGTTTAGAAGCAGATGCTGCGGAGGCCACTACATTTGTGCCCAGTGGGAGCTCAGTATCTAGAGCAGGGGTTCTCAACCTTCCTAATGCGGCGACCCGTTAATACAGTTCCTCATGTTGTGGTGACCCCCAACCATAAAATTATTGTTGCTACTTCATAACTGTAATGTTGCTACTGTTATGAATCGTAATGTAAATATCTGATATGCAGGATGTATTTAGGCGACCCCCGTGAAAGGGTTGTTCGACCCCCAAAGTGGTCGCGACCCACAGGTTGAGAACCGCTGATCTAGAGGGAGGATTGGCCCTCTCAGTGGCCTAGTGGGGTGGGGAAAAGGGGAGGCAGTGGATCACACAGTTTCTCCCTTTTTTCTTTAATCTTTTTTTCCCTATAGTGAAAGACAAGCACTTCAGTATACCTATTTTTAATACATTTTCAAATTACTGCATTTTTGTTAAATATGAAAAACATTATATTTTAGAATCCCAAGGGTATACCTATTTAGGTGTCTCATAAGTTTGTCACATTTAGTGATATTATAGAAGGTATTTGAGCTGCACTGGGCATAATTTCAGGCTTCAGAAAATGCATGTTTTAATTTCAATGCTAAAAACAAAAAAAAGGAGTTAATCATGAAATTAAAAAAGCAAAAAAATGTAGTAGCCACTCTTAAATATTTAAACACTTGAAAGAAAGGTTCATTTGTAATGATACGTAACAACAAGCTAACGGGGATGGATATAGTTTGAATAAATTGTTATTCTGTATTACCATATTTCATAGGAAAAGCATCTAGGTTTGAGAACTTCAGATATAAGCAATATGAACATTTTTATAGTGTAAATAAAAAACGTATTTTTTTACATCAGTATAAAATCATAACTATAATGTGTTAAATTTGAGGAAAGAATTACACCGTACATAGGCTATTTGCAACTTTTAGGCAAGTTATCATTTAGTCCAGATATTCTTACCATTTTGTAGGGCGGAATCATAATGCTTATATTCACATTTTCTAGTGACCTAAGGAAGAGAAAAAATTTGGCCCTTTTCCATCGCAGATCTGATGTGTATAATTTTACCTCTGTTAAAGTTGAGAGATGGTAGTGTGAGATATATTTAGTAATAATCAGAGTTATTCAGTACTTTTGTGCTATACATGAGAAACCACATAGAAGAACCATAGGTAAGGAAAATTAATTCCAAAAGGGTGTCAGCTTCATAAATGGTTTCATAACCTGCTTCCTTATTTTCAGTAGGGTCTGTAATCAGATAGCATGGTTTTTAGTAGATAGTATTGCATTTCTAAAGTATGTAAGCTTGCAGATAATTTTCAAAGGGGGTATCAGTTAGTTCCCAGGTGTAATATACAGATGGAAATATACAGTATTATTTTGACAAATTAGTCCTTCTTTCTCCTCATTGTCTTCCTTATGTCGTGGGGCATACAGTCTCTGTAACAAATACTCAACTCTGCTATTAAAGTGTGAAAGCAGTCATAATGCAGATGAATGAGTGTGGCTGTGTTCCAATAAAACTTTATTTGCAGAAACAGGCAACAGGCCAGATTTGGCCGTACTTTGCTGACCTCTGTCTTAGAATGCCATTCTCATTCTTTTAAGGTCTTTTCTCTTGAGCCTCAGACAGTTCTAAAGTTTTGTTCTCCTTTAAAAAAAAAATCTTTAGCTTTTCTGCCTGTGAGAAATGGCATAAACCACATGGGTTTTTGTTTCAATTTAATTCAACAAAGCTTTGTAAGGACCAAACAAGTACTGTGCCAGATGCTGGGGACAGGCATGGTCCAACTCTTCGCCTAGCAGGGGAGATAGATGCACAGAGCAGAGATTCATTGTCTGCAGTGTTTTGTATTGCTGGGAAGAGTTGTGTAAAGAGCTCATGGTACCGTGTAAATGTCTAAACTCTGGGTCCCCAAGTGAAAATTCCAGGCCTCCTCCTCAGCCTCACTCCCTTTTCATCCTTTGCAGAAATTGACGTTGATGGCCCCAAGTGGAGTAGTGAGGAAAGTTCTGGGAGAAGTTAAGGACTTTCCTCTCCTGCTGACCAGCTGTGAGGTTTGGGGCAAATCACTGATGCTCCCTCACCTGGATTTTACCTAGAAAGGCCTAACATTTTATAATTGAACAGCAGGGTCCACCGGCAATGAGAGGCATTGTTGCCTCTTGGGCGTTTGTGCTGAAAAATAACAATATTTCTCCTATGACGTTGGACACTGCTGCTGCAGGTGTGGTGGGAAAACCTTGCCATAGAAGAGTAGCTTATAGGATGCACACATCAGTCCTTTTAATAACAGGTACAGGAAAGAAATGCGTACTTAGGTATTCTGATATAAAGTCGGCTGAAGCTATGCAATATGGAATTAATACAGTGGCTGTGGGTGAAAGCTGGACTAGGTGGGGGTCATTGGAAGCGTGTAGCTAACAGTCCAGGAGGCCTGGTTACTCTAGTCTTTGGGGATCAAGACAAAGTCTTATGTGAAGGATTAAACAGGAGCTAAAAAAGGAGAGATACCTTTTATTAACCCAAGCCTTATATGAACACTAGGTTTTCTCATTGTCTCATCCTGTTTCATATTGTGTCATTAACATCAAGTTACAACTTGATGCTAGGAAATTTCTTTAATAACAAGCATTCAGAATGAAATGGTTTTCTCAGTGGAAGTGATGAGCTCATGTAACGTTTTAACTCTTTCACAAGTAGGGTTGGTAAAGTAATTTACTACCCCAATTTATCCAGGGAAACTTGTTCTTCCATATTTTCCTTTTAAGTGATTTTTTTTTTCCAATTTAAAAGAAAAGTTCTAGTAACCGTTTTTCTTAGAATCTCTGACTTGTTCGTTATCACACCCAACCTTAACTTTTTTTTTTTTTTTCCTTGTATATTCTAAGAGTGTTTTGCTTTCAGTAAAATATGGAGATACTGAACTATCAGGTTTATTTTTCTAGGAATTTCTGATTCCTAGAAAAAGTTTATTTTTCCCTCCATAATTCTATGTTTAACACAAAAGGTCTGAATGGGCCTGAAGGACAGGTGTGGGCTCACCAGAGAGTTCATTTCTTAATCATAGTTGCTACCAAAATATAAATTTTTATTTTAAGTATATTTTTTCATTTTGTCATGCAAATCATGTCTATAGAACTCTTAATTCGGATATGCCTGAAAATGTTACCTACTAAATGGATTTGTACTCTATTTGGTCCAGTGTTGCTTACCGTGAGGCCAGTGAGGCCCTGTTCCCTGCAGCAGTGCCGTGGAGCCCTCCATGGGACCATCTACATGGGCTGCACATGAAACTCTGCTCTTAGCTTCATATGGGGCTACATGGAGCCTTACATGGGACTCTATGTGGAGCCCTACATGCAGCTGTATATGGAGCTCTACACGGAGTTGTATATGGAGCCCTACATAGAACTGTGTATGGAGCCCTCCATGGAGCTGTGAATGGAGCCCTCCATGGAGCTGTGAATGGACCCCTCCATGGAGCTGTGTATGGAGCCCTCCATGGAGCTGTATATGGAGCCCTCCATGGAGCTGTATATGGAGCCCTCCATGGAGCTGTGTATGGAGCCCTCCATGGAGCTGTGTATGGAGCCCTCCATGGAGCTGTGTATGGAGCCCTCCATGGAGGTGTTGATGGAGCCCTACATGGAGTTGTATCATGGAGCTATATATGGAGCCCTCCATAGAGCTCTACATTCTAGACCTGATGTTTCACTGTATGTTCCACTAATGTGACTGGAATCATGGAGCCCAGCAGACAGGTGGCGTGGAATGTTAGTATTTAACATTTGTGCCACCTAGGGAAAGGGAGCTTTCCCACTTGTTTTAATGGCAAAGTTTTTCAGTTATCTATCTATCTATCTATCTATCTATCTATCTATCTATCTATCTATATCGTCTAGTAAAATAGAGCAGATTGAAGGTTTGGTCTTTACTGGACCCCACCTTTATTTTGTCATTTGCATTCTGATTGCTCTTCAATATTTTAGAAATGGGGTGGAATTATTAGTAGTCTCCAGGGAATTAACTGGAACCTGGGACTGTACTCATATGAACATCATTTGTCATAGTGACAAAGCAGAAAAACAAAATATGGGGACTAGCTAGCCTGGATGACCTGTCATATGGAACAACTTTAATCTTTTTGCTGAAAGTTGTGTTTTAAATCAAGTAACTCTAGATCAATGCTCCTGTGAATGGGATTTTGGACAGAGCAATGTCTAAGCTGCAGAATAGTACAGTGTGTAATTATATGACAGATTCAATGAGTATCAATAAGTTTATTTTTAGCTGCATTGCCTCTAGGAGCAGAATCGGTGCAGGTTGTTCTGTAATTGCATTCATGACCAACACATGCTTCTTGCTATATTCTCTTTGTTTTGCTGCTGCACCTAATGTGTTCAAAGAATGTCTCCCCTCTTAATGAATATTCAGTGTGCAGTGATCCTAAAATTAATCATTTGTTCTTTGCTTCTACTAGAATTAATATAGATAATCAAATAAATAAAATTTTGCTGAATCTCATCATTAGGAAGCCCTCCATGGAAGCTGAATTTATCAGGACAGTAGCAGTGTTAGGAGACATTTTATTTGCTCGTTTGGAAGAACCAGATTAATTTGCAAGGGGAGGGATAACTTAACTTACTTTAAATAAAAAGACTGAAAGTGTGCTCACATTCCTAGGTTCTAGCTCCTGCCTCTCTCCCCTTCTTCCTGTGGGTGGAGGAGTGACCCTTAAGAATGGTTTCCACAGCCTAAGTGCCCATCAGTAGATGAATGGATTAGAAAACTGTGGTACATCTACACGATGGAATACTATGCTGCTCTAAAAAGGAAGGAACTCTTACCATTTGCAACATCATGGATGGAACTGGAGAGCATTATGCTAAGTGAAATAAGCCAGTCAATGAAGGAAAAATACCACATGATCTCACTCATTCATGGATAATAGAGACCATTATAAACTTTTGAACAATAATAGATACAGAGGCAGAGCTGCCTCAACAGATTGTCAAACTGCAGCGGGAAGGCCGGGGAGGGTTGGGGGGCAGGAGGTAGGGGGGTAAGAGATCAACTAAAGGACTTGTATGCATGCATATAAGCATAACCAGTGGACATAAGACATTGGGGGATAGGGGAGGCTAGGGGACTGTCTAGGGCGGGGGGATAAAATGGACACATATGTAATACCCTTTGTAATACTTTAAGCAATAAATTAAAAAAAAAAAGAATGGTTTCCAGGTGGCCTCCAGACCTGGTTTGATGCTAATGCTTTTAGCCCTGGCATCTTTCCTGAGTAGTTCCCATGCCACCTTTTCCTTTGGCTGATTCCCTCCTGTGTTCCTAAGTCAGAGCCCTTGCTGGCATGTGCACCAGAGATTTACATCCCACCCATATTGGAAAAGGGTGTTTTAGATCTCAGTTGAGACACTTATCTTCTATATCCGGCTTTCTTTCCATAACATTAACAAGTTGTAGTTAGGTTTCTAAAACAGACCCCTTTTCCTCTGCGCATTCTTCGTATTTACCTTCCATAGATTTTGTCAGAATCCTTTTGCTCACCAAGTAATAGTCATCTCACTCCGATTTGGAGGTATCCACAGCCTTTTCCTTCTTTTGCATCTCAGCAAGGATTGCCTTTGATGGCTAGCTCTATTTATGTTTGCTGTGGGTACTTCCTGTGGGGGAGGATGTCCAGGGAGTTGGTGGTAAGCCACAGATGTTTCAGTGGAGGCTGCGGGGTGGCACGGACTGAGGTTCCATGAGCCACGAGGAGACCCGCCAGTCTCAGTTCTCTCCCTTTGCAGTGATAGGAGGCGTCCAGGGAAAGCCGTTGTTCTATATCCTAAGAGGAGACAGGTTGCATCCATGTTGTCTTTGCTCTAGTGCACATCTCTATATTCAAAAATATCTTTGAAGCACTGCACACCTCATGCCCAAGCAACTGCCTCTGAGCTGGTGGCCGTCCTCCTTCTGGCCCCCCTGGCCTGAGCCTGCTCGCTCCTGTCTCAGGTACCATGAGCAGATTCCTCCTCCTGCGACAGTACATGCACGCGTGTGTCTGCACCTCAGTCATCAGTGGCTCTCCCTGCCCCTTCCTTTCCTTAGAGGCCTAGGGCAGCTCATCCTCCTGGGAAATTGGGTTCCTTACTGTCCCAACATTAAATTGCATCACTGGGTTGCTGACAGCCCTCGCTTCTGCTGTGCTTTTGGAATAGCTTTCTCCTTTGCTGGTAACCGCAGCCTGGCAATCCTCTACAGTCTAGGCATTTCTAGAGTGCTGCACATGTTTCAAAGGCCTGCTTTCACTCCCTCCCAAGAGAAGGGCTGCTGTGGGACTCCCGTTCTGATAGGAACTCTCTCACTCATGCATATCCCATGTGCCTTAGAGAGGCCCTGCGCCAAACTAGAATTTTTTTTGTAAAGGTTATTTTATGAATAAAAGCATGAATGAATGATTTCCTTGCCATTATCAACTCTTTTCTTTCATAATGGTAATGCATAGAAATTAAGGTCATGATAATTGTATCATACTTCAGAAAATAAAAGTATGTGTTCAAATTGATGAGAGCTCATGAACATCTGGTGATAGGACTTGTTTCATAGCAACAAAGCATCCTTGAAAACGAAGTGACAGTGACCATGGCCCTCTGACTTTGTAGATGAGAATGGAAAGTAAATTTCCAGCAATCATAAACCCCCCATTTATATGACTATGTGTTTTAAATTGGGGGAAATAAAGAACTTGTTTAGCTGCTTTCAAGAAATGGGTATGGAGTTAACAGGAGACAGTTTAGCCACATTTAGCTAATCATTAGTGTAAAAATAAACTGTGAATAGAAATCTTTCGTTAAGTGGATCCATGGGGTCTGGATTTACTACTCTGGGTGGTGGTGGATTCGTCTCACAATCACGGCTTGAGTGACAAAATGCAGTCATTTTAGAGTGAGTGGCCAATTCAGGTACATTTTAGCAAGTGCCTGCCTTGAAGGTGTGCAAACCTTAAAATGTTCATATTCTCAGTGCAGCCTCTCTTAGACCCGGAAGTCACAATAATAATAAGTGAAATAGCTGGAGGACACATCTTTCCTTAGAAGGACAGTTTGGGTCCTGTTTTCCGTTAGGTTTCGTTCATAGAACAGTTTGCCTATTATATTTTTTGAAGGACCTAAGTAATGCTTTTTAAAAATAATAAGTCACACTTAGCACTGCCTCCTTGTAGGGACATTTTAAAAACAGTCATGATAAGAACCAGTATTTCCTTCGCAGGTCGACAGCACCCAGTCTATGCAGGCTTTTGTTTTTCTGGCCACACGATGCAGTCGGTGCTTTCAGTTTGAACCAGGGGACTGCCTGCCTGGCGTGCAGAGTCCGGGAGGTTTCACACACTCACTCCACGTTGTGGGACACACTGGAAATTTCTCTCTTGCTGGGATCGGTCCTCTGAACTCAAGATGAACAGCGGAGAATGAGATTTACAAAGAAGTAAACCAGAGAGGGTGGTGGGTGTCTAGGATCAGAATTCGAAATGATCAGAAATGCAGGTTATGGAAATACAACTGCAAGGAAGGACATGACCTGCTTAGGGCAGGGCGTGACCAGCAGTGCTCACGAGTAATCTAGTAGCTAGAGTTAAGGAGAGCGGGGAGATGAACAACTTGGCATGTTTGTTGAAGAGCCTAAGCTTTTTTGAAAAGGTACTATGCCATGAAATGTCAGAGTCTGTCTCTTAAAGAAGGAACAAGTCTGGTAAGAATATGCTGTAAATGTTGGAAACTGGAAAAAGGTTACAGCAGGGGTCCTCAAACTTTTTAAACAGGGGCCAGTTCACTGTCCCTCAGACCGTTGGAGGGCCAGACTATAGTTTAAAAAAAAACTATGAACAAATTCCTATGCACACTGCACATATCTTATTTTGAAGTAAAAAAAAACCAAAACAGGAACAAATACAATATTTGTATTTGCATGTGGCCCGCGGGCCGTAGTTTGAGGACCCCTGGGTTAAAGTCTTTAGTCTGGAAGGGCAGTAGCAACGATGGCTGGTTGGGGTCCAATGGCATGCCCCCTCCACGCTCAGCAAGGAAGTAAATTAACCTGGAACATGGAGACTTGGGTGGATGGAGAGTATGTAACAAGTGCATCATTGCAGGAGCTTTTGAAATCTTGGGTTGTTTTATGAATAGGGTAGATGATCCAAATTCCTGAGAGCAGGACTCATCACTTCTCCCTCTTTCTTACTCTAATACACATTTTGGGCAGTCGGTGTAGTTTACAATGTACTTTAACGTGTGCCGTGTTTTCTCGTCTTCTCAGCAGCCCTGTCAGGAGGGCAGTGGGTTTTCCCCCTCAAAGCATCAAGAGGGGCAGTTAGAGGAGCCCTTGCCAGGTCACACAGCCCCTCTCTTTAAAGGATAGAGCTATGGCTCTATATCTCATTCAATGGAATGACTCACAACAGCACGTGTGAATAGTTTTCTTCAGTTGAAAATGTGAGCTTCACTCTGGACCTCACAACTCACTCTAAACCTAGTAGTTCTGCCTCCGGGGAAACCAAATAGGACTGTACCCATCAAACTTGTTTCTGGAAGAGGGAATTGAATAAATGTTTGCTTCCCAAAGTGCATCATTTTATGAAAGTCACAGATTAGAAAGGCAGGTTAAGAAGGATCTTTCTCTCACTCTAAGGATCATCTTGTTCTCCTGACAATCACTACTGACTGACTTTCTGTCTTTTTCAGAGTGAAGACCTGCCTGGCTTCATTACCACAACATCACACATCAGAGAATCACATGGAAAAGAAGAGGCTCAGCATTTTATAAACATTTGAAGCTGCTTACAATTGTTCTTTTGGACCTGAGCAATTACTTTGTTTTCAACATCTGCGGCTGTACTAGAGATGAAACCAACAAGGCAAGAACGGCCGCCTCCCTCACTGGTTCCCATAGGGGGCATTCATCCTGTGCTGTTTGTGTTGTGTTTTGTTTCGTTGTTTTAACACAATTTGCCGAAGAAGTAATTCTCAAGAGAATGGGATGTTTTCATTGGCCTTTTAAATTGTGGCCAGTGTCTTAATTTCTTCTGACGTTCATTTTGGCAAAGCCAATTTGTCCCTCGGCATGCTAGGAGATTGTACCAATACCCATTAAAGTGGTAAAATCTGGTATTTACTGGCATACACTCAAAACTACCACAGTCCTACCTCAGTTCCAGGTGAAGCCGGATTTGCGGGGTTGGGGGCCGGCAGGACCTCCGTGTATCTCTGCTGAATGTGGCGCCAGTGTGGTCATCAGCCTTATTCAACTGGTCCCAGTACACAGCTGCTTGTTGGACTCCAATCCAGGTTCCTGCGTGTTTACTCACAGACAGAGCCCAGTGTGGGGCTGACATTTCTCTATGGGAATGAAATTTGTGATTGGACGTTGAAGATGAATTAATAAATAATAATTATATGTAACTAAAGCAGCCTACTTTTGGAAATCATCAACTGTATTGGGTATTGGGGGTGGGAGGGGAGGTGTTGGGGCAGGGGCTGAATATCTCTTTTTAACAGAGTTGTTTAATCTCTATGTAGATGTTTATGTAGGTACTTCAAATTGCAAAAGCCTTTGATCCTATTTACAAGCTCAAATGTCTCTGCTGTCCTTAATCTTGAGCTTGCATTTCTTTAACCAAAAACTCCCCAGGCATGCCAGCAATTCAAGGGTGGTCACCGGTTTAGCAGAGTTTTTAAAAATGTATTTATTATCTTAACTATAATGCTATGGTGTGGGCCAACGAGGCTTTCCTGAACAACAGTACAACAAAAAACGGGATGGGGGGTGGAGGAAAGAAACTGATAAAAGAGGCATTTCGGGCCCTGCATTGTTAATGGAAAAAGAAAAAAGAAGGAAAACAATCTCACAGTACATGCCACGTGTTGGAAAACTCCTGACAAGACTACGCTTACGTTTTCAGTGTTCTGAAAATACCAGTGTTGTGTCGATTCTCACAGGTGTCCCCTAAAACTGCTGCCCTTGACCAGCAGAACGTCATGTCATCTTGCTGCTCCCTTGACACATGATGGAGGGCCCCAGACCTTTTTCTCCCATGGGTGCATCCCCAGTGCCTATCTTCTCTGATAGTCCTGAAGAGGTTACACTAGTTCATTGGAGATGTGAACTTGTTTTTTTCTTTCTTTTTTTTTTTTTGGAGAAAAAATTATATATAAATATATAGATATATATCGCTATAGAATAATGCATTACTAAAAATGAGGCTTTTTTAGAGGAAGACCAAAAAATTCAATGTCTTAAGAATATATTTAATGGCAATGCAAACGTCTTCCTGCTTCCATGCTGAACTCTTAGAACAGAGGATTGTATTGCAAGACAAAGTTGAATGTAAAGTGATCCCCCTGGACGTTTTTTAAGAGTTTTACTTTTCTAAAATTACACATCACAGCAGTGTATAGAGCGTACGACGTTAGTTTGAAGGTCAATTTCAGTGTATAATAGACATACTTTATAAAAATGTATAAAATGTCCTAAAGTGTTGATTTAGTCTTGGGACTAGGACTCGGGTGGTATTTGCTATGTGACTCCCCCAGGTACGTAGGACTGAATATGGGCCCTGCTGAATACAGTGTATGACGGTATTTAAGTAGCTCTCTATACTTAGAGTAGTCATGCCTCTATATCAATGGTTCATGTTCATACTGCAACTTCAAACTAGCAAATGAAAAGTCGGTAATATACTAAATGTTCCTCTATCCTGTACATTTCAAAAAAGGCATATGCAATATTTACAGTTTTAATTTAGTTTACAGAATGGAACCAAAATGTATAAATGTTATGTTTGCTAAAACTTCACAATGTATATTGGGGTCTTTGTACATTTTGCCTGACTTACCTTAAATTTAAAATATTTTTTGCTATATAAACTTTAACAGTTATTAAACAGTGTTTTCTTTTTTGGGTACGTATTGTTTCTGGATATCAAGATGTTAAATATATTTCTTGCTATTGTGATATGACAAAAGACTTAACTAATCTTGCTCTGTCTTCCACTGTACACGCTGTATATAAGGGTCAATGTGATGCTGCTGGAGACAAGAATAAATGGAACTAGAATAGTGCATTGTATTTAGTCTGTATTGATCATGGATGCTCTCCTTAATAGCCATATGCAATAAAATAAAATACATTATTTATGAAATGAATAAAGCCTTGAGGATATTTTTTTCAAGATGGATTCTGGATTTAACATGAAGCTACTCCTGGTGTTTTGGAGTAAACAAGTAAACACTTGGCTCCTACAAAAACATTTGATGCCTCTCAATGTTAATATGTTCTGGGAACCAGAAAATCCCCAAATCACAAAATTTTTGAAAAGAAAATGTGTTAAGTAAACAAAAAAAGACTTTTACTTTACAAAACAGAATCCTTGCAAGATGCTGGTTGCTGTTCTAAATGCTATATAAATATTAAATTCTTTATAGCTCACGACAACCTCAGGTATTAAGAATCACCCCATCTTATAGATGAAGAGACTGAGGCACAAAGAGGTTAAATGAGTTGGAGGACACATAGCTCATGAACAGCAGAACCAGGAGTCAAACCCAGAACTGCAGTCCCAGAATCTGTGCACCTGTGCACTCTGCCATGCAGCCTTCCAGAGATGCACACAGGATTAAACCCATGCGTACATACATGGAGAACACGTAGAAGTAAAGACAGAGCCATGAGGTGCAATTTAGGAGGCAGAAAATATAAACATAACTTGATTTTTACCAAGGACAATGCTTCCTCCTTGTCAGAAATATTTTTATACATTTTCACCCTAAAATTATAGCAGTGCAGTAACATGGGTGCCATCTCTTTTGAACAAATAAAAAGCAGAGGAATTTAGAAGGTGATTTTAAAATAATGGCTCTTAATTCACATGACTGGCATGCACCATGTGGTGTGTAGGAACTTGCAGGGGACAATGTGACCTATTGTGCCGTGATGGATTGTTCTGAGGGTTCCTGTTTGGCAAAGAAGGAGGCATGATCTGCAAGGTTAAATATCTCTGAAGTGTAATGACAAGAGGGTAAATGATAGATGTCACTCCAGGGGAGTCTTTTCAAGCCGGAATTGGCAAATGTGTTTTCCCAGAAGAGCCAATGACAAATAAAAAGTGAAGAGTTGTTTCAAAGGGCCTGATTAGGTCTGGAAATACTCAAAACCAATTCATAAACTTTTAGGAGGAAGCTAAGTGTTATAACAAGATGAAAGATAAAGATTGCATCACATTGATGTAGGAAGTTGGGTTCTGACTCATTGATGGTTTTAGTAGTCAGCTTGGAAGGTGCAGATGGCTTTTTGGTGCTGTCATATTCTCGTGGTGCTGTCATTAGACTCGAGTCCAATATCATTGAGCTGATCTGCAGACCACAGTTAGTCCCTCTTGAAGCCACAGACCCAGGTTTAATGTCACTTAGCAAGAGCAAGTTTCCAGGCGGGCTTGGGCAGACTGTTCATTCATTTGGGCATCTAACCCTGTGTTGACGAGGTGTACTAGTCTTTGAGTGAAGCCAGCCTTACGTATGGCAGTTCTTAGATGCCACCAGTTGAAGGACAAAAGGCAGAATTGCTTCTTTTAAAATATGCAGTGTCTTCATCTTCGCCCCAGTTGTGCGGCTCTTCCACATTTCTCTGATTTACACAACTAAGTGAAATGTGTTTACAATTCTTGTTTGGACAGTGGTCTCTAAATAATAGAACTCTGTAATCTCATGTGGTGGACAGTTTGAAAACACTGAACATCCCTCCAGGCTCTCCTGTTAAATTTGAACTTTTCTACCTGCGTTTCTGCTCTTGTCTCTTGAGCCTGCTTTCACCTCATAGCTCCAAAGGAACCCACGTAGCAATTTGGTGGTTTCCTTGGCACCTCCTTGTTGTCATGCTGAAACTACTTTTTTTAAAAATATACTTTTCTTTGTTGATTTCAGAGAGGAAGAGAGAGAGAGAAACATCAATGATGAGAGAGAATTATTGATCAGCTGCCTCCTGCACGCCGCACACTGGGGATCAAGCCCTCAACCCGGGCATGTGCCCTGACCAGGAATCGGACAGCATCCTCCTGGTGGTTCATAAGTCATCGCTCAACCACGGAGCCACACCGGTTGGACTGAAACTACTTTTCTTGAATCCATCTGAGCCCTCAAGTTCCCACAGCCTTTGCCACTGCATGTAGAAAAATTCTGCCCTCTTTGGGGCACTGGCTCCTCTGTTTGGAGATGTACTTTTGAAGTTGTTTCTTCCCTTCTATATCAGAATTTCCTCTGCTTACCTAGGAACTCTAAAAGCTCTAAATTTTTACCAAAATTCCGTTAACCTTAAAAACCCTACCTCAACTCTTGTCCGCCTACCTGGGGGGCCCTAGACTCTTATCAGAGAATATACAACATGTTCTCATTTCTCCAAATCTTCCCATCCACAACATTCTAAATGTGCAAATGACTTCAATATGAAAAAAAAAAAACCCAAACACATCAAATTAACTGATAGAGTTTCCCAGAAAAGATACATATAATACAAGTACTTATAATTATTAGAATATGTTTAGCTGCAAATAATAGGAAACCCAACTCAATGGCTTTTAAACCAGTGGTTCTCAAATTTGGGGGCTTATGCGAATCCCCTGGCATGCTTTCTGGACCAGCTATCAGGGCCCACTCCTAGCCTTTCTTTACACTTGGTCCGGGTAGGACCCAAGAATTTGCATTTCTACCGATTTCCCAGGTGATGCTGATACTGCTGGTCTGGGACCACACTTGGCGAACCACTGAACAATAAAGGACTTTATCATCTCACATAATGAGAAGTTCAGGCTTAGATTCATAAGACAGCTAAATGACATCATCAGGGGCCCAGGATCTTTTCATCTTTCTACTCACTCAGCCATCCTCAGGATCTTGGCTTTTATCTCTCAGACCTGTCCCCTCATGTTTATAAGATAGTTACAACAGCTCCAAACAGCATATCCTCAAATAATAATATCCAATAAAGATAATCCCGCTTTTTTGGTGTCTTTTTGGAGAGAAGCAAACAGGCCCAAAGCCGCCCACTTCACCCAGCTCTGCCTTAAGTCCACTGAACAGAACTGGGTCTCCTGCCCATGCTGACATTGGTCCCTGGGAAAGGAGACTGCACTGTGGCTGATTTACACTAAAAGGGATTCACATTCTGGGCTGAGAAGCAGTCAGTATCCCATGAAGCACCAGTCTGCTAGATACTGAACAGAAGTTGGGTGGTGGGAACACACGCAGAAGGGATGAAGTTCCAAGGGCAGTAGGAAACCAACGTGTGATCAAAACCCTTTCCAAGTACAATTATTCTTCAAATGTGTTCTCTCCATTCATGGTGCTCATACTCCCAATCTCCAGTGATTTGGAAAAGGAGGATTTCTAATATAATAAAATAATTTTGCATTATCAGAAATGTAATATGATGCTGACCTATAAATACAGAATTTTTATTTTCAAGACTGTAGACATAATTCTACTACTATGTTTCTCATGTATGTTTGCTTTTATTATTGAATACTGTGCAACACTGGAAGCTAGTTTATAATATATTTTTATTGATTTCAGAGAGGAAAGGGGAGGGAGACAGAGGGAGAAACATCAATGATGAGAGAATCATTGATCGGCTGCCTCCTGCACACCCCATCCTGGGGATTGAGCCTGCAACCCAGGCATATACCTTGACCAGGAATTGAACTATGACTTCCTGGTTCATAATCGACACTCAACCACTGAGCAACACTGGCCAGGCTGTAAGCTATTTTATAAAAGATCAAGATACAAAGGATGGGAAATTAGAAGGTGCCTGAAAGAGCAAGTACTATTTAGTTGGAAAAGAGAAAGCTGTGGTGATTTGTCAGCATCGATTACATTAGAGACTATGCCAAGCAAATGATTTTGTCAACTGACCTTCTCAGAAGAAGAAATAACCAGAAGAAAAAGGGGCAAAAGTGAGAAAAATGTGTCCATTTTCCACAAGAAATAACTTTATAATAATGAGGATTATTAAACATCAATATTATTTTCAAATGAATTTTAGATTACATTCCCTGAGGCCTTAAAAAATAGGACTTTGTAGCCATCTTTGTTTGAAGGATGAGAGAGGGCAGGCTGGCCATACAAGATCTACTAGCTCTTCTCACCGCCCGGGGCCTCCGCAATTCACAGCTCCAAAAGCAGGGGGTTCGCTCTCTTCCGTGCTCATGGCACAGCCACGAGGCTTTGTGCAGGGCCCAGCCTGAAAGCCCATATATCCTGGTTCTTTTCCTTGTCCTGACATCTCTGAGGATTAGCATACTACTTAGCATTAGATTTAAGCAGGAAAAATAAAATTCTTATAGTTTATTTTGTAACGAAAGTTTGTACCCACATAATGTTTATGAATCTGAAGGAAAATCTACAAACTTGAAGGAAAGATCAGGAACGTAGGTCAATCCTGACTATCATCTAGCTTTGTAAAACCATGCTATCTCCAATTCATGTCACTTCAAGGGATTATAAAAGATGGTGCAACCAAGTGACAGATGATCTTTTTAAACTACACGTGTGAGCAGGTCTCCAGTTGGGTTAAAAAATCTATTGGTTTTATCCCACCCCTCTCCATCCCTATTATTCTATAGGAAAAGTCAAAATTTCTTAGCCTGGTAGACACAAAGTACTTCATTATTAGCTTCTGCCTACTTCCTTAGGCTTCCCTTCATGGCCCTCTCCTCCGCATTCCACTCTTACTGTGAGTCTGTGCCCACGCCTTACCAAATTACATGAATGGTACTCAGCTCATGGATGAAAGAAAACAATGAACTGAAAAGAATTGCTAAAGTTGAAATAAATGTTTATTTACCAAGAGATGTTATTTCATAAAGGATCTCTCAAGAAAAGCTAATGCAAAATATTAGAAGTTTGATGCATTTTTAAATATATACATTTAAATGTTACACATTATCCCTTCAATTCTTCCTTTAAAATCTGAGGCCATTCGCATGATCATTTCCACTCCCCACCTCTTTCCTCTTTTTCTCTCTTATATGTGTTAGTTATATCATTATTTGTGCATTGTCGAGGATAAAAAAGTTACATTTGTTCTGTAATATAATCAACAGGATTTTAAAATTTCAACTTCAACTTGAAGTGATTCATTTCCTGCCACTGGT